AAGATTTTAGAGTGTATCTGTGGGAATTTGTGCCCAGAGCATTGGTGAGGTCAGGCACTGATGTTGGACAAGAAGGCCTGGCTCACAGTCGACGTTCCAACTCATCCCAAAGGTAACCAGTGGGGTTGAGGTTAGGGCTGTGCAGGCCACTGGAGCTCCTCCACACCAAACTTGTCAAACTTTTTAAAATTTATGAACGTTGCTTTGTGCACACAGGGGTACAGTCATGCTGGAAGAGGAAAGTGCCTTCCCCCTACTCTTGCCACAAAGTTGGAAGCACATAATTGTCTAAAATGCCTTAGAATGCTGTAGCATTAATATTGCCCTTAATATTACACTGGAACTAAGGGGCCAAGCCCAAACACTGAAAAACCCCAGACCATTATTCCTCCTCCACCAAACTTTACTGTTGGCACTATGCATACCAGTACATAGCATTCTCCTAGCATCCACCCACCAGACTGTCAGATGGTGAAGTGTGATTCATCACTCCAGAGAAAATATTTCCAGTGGCAGTGTGCTTAACACCACTCCGGTCGACGCTTAGCATTACGCATAGTGATCTTAGGCTTGAGTGCAGCTGCTTAGCCATGGCAATCCATTTCATGAAGCTCTGGATGCACAGTTCTTATACGTTATGGAGCTGATGGAGTTAATGTTACATCCAAAGGTAGTTTGGAACTCTGTAGTGAATGATATAATAGAGGACAAGTGATTTTTACATGCTACGTAATTTAACACTCATCAGCCCCAGTCTGTTTGCGTGCGACTTCATGACTGAGTTATTATTCCTCCTAGATGCTTCCATTTCACAATAATAGTACTTACAGTTGACCAGGGAAAATCTAGCAGGGTAGAAATTACACAAATGTGGCATCCTATGACAGTGGCACGTTTAAAGCCACTGAGTTTTTCAGTGTGACCCATTCTACTGTGAATGTTTATCTGTTGAGACCGGATGGCTATGTGCTTGATTTTATACACCTATTAGCAAGGGGTGTGGCTGTAACATGTGAAGTAATCAGGAGGGCTGTCCACATACTTTTGGCCATATAGCGAATGTAGCTGTCTATATATGAAAAAAAAAATTTATTATATAAACGTGAGCATACATGTAATAATAATTTGTCCCATATGTATTAAATATGTGTATTATCTATACAGCACTACACAAGTCAGAAACTACCCTTCATTTATTTAATTTCCAGTCAAAACAGGTATTAAATACAAGTGATTCACTTTTCAGGAGATATTTCTGAGAAGATTAAGATGAGATGATTCACTTGTATGAGGAAGTGGAAAGTTAAGGGAAAACAGATGAAAGAACAGGAGTTTCCAAAACTGGAGTTCAAAAAATGATTAAAAGTTATAGAGAAAATAGGACTCCTAACAACCATGCTAGACCTGGCAAGTTCACCAAAACTGCCACCATCAGATAAACACTGCCTAAAGCTTGTGTGAGAGAGAGGAGATGATCTGATGTGTAGCTACTAAGAAGAGGAAAAAAGACAAAATAGAAGAAAATCTTTAAATCAAACAAAGAAGCTGCTGGTGTTCTCAGAACAATAGACTTAACACTCCAGAGTCCAAACCTCAACATCACGGAATGTGTTTGGGATCACTTGGATCGTGAGAAGCAGACAATGCAACTAACTTCTGAACTCTGGAGGTGTGGAAAAATATCCCTTTCTTTGAGAATTTCTTTGAGAAACTGAAAGCAAGTCTTCCAAAAGGAATATAAGCTGTAACAAAGGCAAAGGGTCGACACACTAAATACTGAAAAAAATTGATGTCACGTTGTTGTTGAGGCTTCTGTGTAGTTTTCTGTTAAATATGTTTCTGTTTTTGTACCTTATGGATGATTTGACAGAAAATGACATATTGCATACATAATTGCACATTACATTCATAATTGTCTTTCACACTGTGTTTGCCATATATATCGCTGCTGTTGGAACAAAACCTTGTATCTCTGTTTTTGTCATCTTTTAGTTTTTGACATAATTTTAAAAAAAAATGTCTGTTGCGTTTTACATTGTGTGTAAATTCCATGATGGATGGACCAAAAGAAACAGCCCAAAATTACTTGAACAAAATATTTGGTTCCATTGACTCACATTAAAAGTAAAATATGTTTTTCCTTTGCCTGTGAAGTTACTGTTTTGGAGATACAAGGTTTTGTTACGAAAGCAGACATATATTACATACATATATTCCACATGAATGAAGCATATTAGGTCAGCACAATAACTTTTATGTTACTCACGTTTGGCAAGAATTATATTGCTCTAATGAATTTTATTCATGTGGATGTTCACTTTTGAATCACTTGAAACACTGTTTCAGTGTTGCCATATGTAATAGTGTCCATATGTACATATACTGCTTTTTCAGCAGCTTTGTAAGAAGCATTTTCCAAAATTAGGACCATTTTCTGGTCGATTTTTCCCCCTAAAAATCTATGAAAACAAGAACACACACACACACACACACACCTAAAGCAGGAGTGAATGTGTATTCCGAGTGTGTGAGTCTCTCTGTCTCTCTGCCTGTGTTGTGCTTGGTCCTGCAGAATCACATGTGAACTCTGGCTCTTTCAAGTCGGCCCACGGGGCAGGCGTTTGATTATTTTTTTGTCAACACAACAGTGATTTAAAAGCACGGCCGCTTCCAAAACCCATAATTCCCTCCAGCTCCGCTGCTTCATCTGGCCTGCACATTTCCCTCATCTGCCCCCTCTACTGCTTCTCTATTGTGTTTTTTTTTTCTGTTCTATTTCTTCTCATACACAGGAATTGTCGAGTTGTGTGATATGGTTTGCTGTTGGAGCGTACAAATATGCGTTTGTGTGGATCTTGCGTCCGATCCTTTTAAGGCGAAGTAAAACCAACTTTTCATGTTGCTGAAAGATTTGTGTTTGTATACATCTGTATCACACAAGAACATATGTCTGCACTACTATGCAGTAGCATTTTATGGCATTACAAGAGGCAGACATGCCTGAAGATAGTGTACGGTATTTGGCACTATACCACAAAGCCATTCTTGAACAGTAAACATTCTTAAACAGTAAAGTTAAAAGGTTTAAAAAAAAATCCAGTATTTTTCTCTCACCCTAAGTCTAGTCGGTCAGCCAAGACGTGTTTAGAGTTCTGCACTGCAGCTACGAGGCTAATGTAGCTAACAAGTATCTACGAGATTGGACAGAAGTGCATCATATTGCTAAAAACAGTGGTAGCAGCTTGGTGCCTGAATTCAGTCCATACTTTTGTCCATTTTTATGGATAACAGTATATCATTCAGTGACAGGAACCACATACGCAAGTCTATTTGAGTTTACTTAACATGTTTGGGTGACTTAGACATACAGTGCTAATTTGTAGGGTATTACTTGTTAGCTTTTAAAGCCCTTTACAATCTTGCCTCTCAGTATTCGTCGTGGCTGCTCTGTCCTTACAGCCAGGCTATACACACTCAAACAAGGTGGCTCATCAAGAGTCCCTTAGTAAAGGCAATGGTTCTATTTAGAAACGAGTTCTGTAAAGAATCATTTTATGCTTAAATGGTTCTTTGCATGCTGAAATAGTTCTTGATGGAGAATGTATTATATATGGTTCTCTTTTTGAAAATGGTTCTATTTAGCACCAAAAAGTGTTCTTCTGTTGTTACAAGCTTGACATTTTAACAAAACCAGGTCCCGTTTTTGGTGCTAGATAGAACCATTTTCAAAAAGGTTCTATTTAGAACCATATACAACATGTTCTCCATCAATCTGAAGAACGTTTTCACCATGCAAACAACAGTTTAAGCATGAAATGATTCTGTAGAGAACTCATGGTTCTAAAGAGAAATGTTGTTTTTTATTAAAGAACTCTTAAAGAGCCATCTTTTTAAACTATGTACTTTTAGATTGTCTAGTCATGGTTTACTTGTAGTTCCAAGTTTCGTCTTTCAGTGTTGTGGTACTTCAAGAAACAGCCACAGAGCTTCCATAGTATCTCCTCCATCTCAGTAATAAATATGTTCTAATGTTCTTTTCATCTCGGCACCTGGTTCTATTAATGATTTGTAAAGCGATCTTCAGCTTGGACAGCTGCTAAAAAATAACATTTCAGCTTATGCAGTAATGTGCAATAGTCAGATCACCCATAATTTATTTCATTTCCAGTCAAAAAGGACAGTAAGTACATTTGTGTACATTTCCTTTCTTTTTCCTTAATAATATTTTCTTTAATAAAATATTGATTTACTCTGAACAAGTTCGTTTTCTATCCAACACATACGATTAACTCAAACGTGTGAAGTCGGAGCTCGGAATGATGTCATTTTCGGCTGTGTCAGAGCTACGAAGTGGGACAAAATGCAGTTTTCTCTATTAAAGTGAACATTGTTAGCAACAAGCTAGCCAGTTGTCAGTGATATAGTGGCCATATACATTTGAATGCAAAGGTTTGAGTGGCCCTGGTCAAATTACATGCAGTGTTAATTTTCTATACATACATACATACATACATACATAACACACTTCTGCACATTTTAATGCACAATTACTGTTTGATTGCTGAATTTAACATATTGGAACAAAACCCATTAATTATGGCCTGTGCAAAAAAATATGGCATATTTACATTTTGTGTTTTATTTGTTTCCAGTATGTTAAAATCAGCAGATATGTAGATATTGTGCACTTTGCAAAGAAATGCCATATTTAAGTGTGTTCCCTGCAGGATAGGGGTGCCCAGTCTTATCCTCAAAGGGCCTGTGTGGCTGCAGGTTTTCATTGCAACAAAGCAGCAGCACACATGATCAGTTGTTCGATGACTGAGAATCAACAAAACGTCATTTTTTGGGGGTACTGAAACTTTCGCATGCAACTGTGTATCCCATGATGCACAGTGGCATTCCCAGAGTGCTGCTGAAGTTCGATATCCCTGAAATCATTCTAGTGTGTTTGGTACATGATTCTGCTGCTAACGAACTTCTCTCTGGTCTCTCTGCAGGGAGCGCATGCAGCAGTCGGCCATGTACGATCTGTGTCTGAGCATGAAGCAGGTCAGTCAGGAGTTTGTCCGCCTGCAGCTCACCTACGAAGAGTTCCTCGCCATGAAGGTACTGCTGCTCCTCAGCACAGGTCAGTCTCTCTGTATTTTAATGTGTGATAGTACCACAGGCTGAATGAGATCAATGATGATTTAGAGTAAGATTAGCTTTACTTTATTGTGTATCAGAGATACTCATCTTTGGCTTTTGCTCATATCGTCACTGTCCAAAAAACAGAAATCAATTTTTTTCTATTTTTATTGTTCTACAGAATTTGATTAGTTGCCCTTTACATTGAGTGATGAATGTACCTTTACGTTTCATGATACATGGGCCAACAGAAATTCTTCAAAATTGCTTGAAATTAATTCTCTTTGCATCAACTTACATTAAAAGTAAAGAATGTTTTTGCCTTCTCCTGTAAAACTGTCTTTTTGGAGATACTTGGGTTTTTTTGGACAGCAACTATATGCATATACATGCAGAATAGCCACAAAGCACCAAAACACGTATTAAAAATATTCAAAAATAATCAGTAGTGCAGCAATCAGTCAGTAGCGTAGAGTGCAGAATCATTTGTGCAAGAAATGAAAGGGCAAATTTTCTCTATGTTGGACTGTAAAGTTAATCTAATCTAATTATTTTGCTTGTGTTTTTTTTTATGGCCAGCCTAAAGAGTGTGATGACATAGAAGCCATAGGGAGTCACTTAAACAAGAGCAAACTAAAAGCATATTGTCTGCTCAACAATATAGCATCATATTCCAAAATGTAGTTCTTCTATTGCTTTTTAAGTGACATCAGTATAGTTATTGGTTATCGGTATAAACCTTAAAATCGGCTGATTTCATCAGTCAAAAAATGTGTTGGTCAGGACCTAATGTGTAAGAGACCCCCAGGATTGGCTAGAATCAGTGGAGAGAGGAAGTGAGCTGAGAAGTTTAGTTGGTAGCCTAGTGGTAAGAGAAGCGAGCCAGCAACTGAAAGCTTGCGGATTCAAGTCCAAGGACTGACTGGGTATACCTGGTTGTGCCCTCAGGCAAGGCACTTAACCCTCACTGCCCCAGGCGGTGCTGCTCTGCTGGTGATACTGTGCTTCTGTTCCCAGACTGGCAAAATGTCAAGGTTTCATTGTAGGACCAATACAGTATATAACTAACTAAACTCAATGAGAACTAGCCAGTGGTGTTCTCCCAACTATGCTTAGCTGTTGCATCTAGGGGAACCGAACCGCAATGTTACAGGACTTTTGTTATGTTGTAAGCTAACAAAAGTCCTTTATCATTTTGTAGAATTGGTATGACTCCTGACTCGAGTGCAACTGGCACTTCATGTCTGAAAACACGGTCAATGGGTTCACTAGCTGTTTATACCAGTTATACCGCTCTCTCCTACTAACAGGGTTCATTAAGAGGAGCTAGTCGGTTCAGTGTTTCATCAGAAAACATGCTGCAGAAAAATACTGGGTCTGAGTTTCACTGCAGAGGAGTTTCTCTACCTAATTCTTGTTCAGTCCTGTCTGAATTTTTGAAGTACACTGGCATGTGCTAGTACTGTGTTGATGGAATTGGTGTATAGATACATAGACAATACAGATACAATGAATACAAATAATAAAGATAAATACAAAGGCGCATCCATAACAAAGTAGCACAAAATCTACATATCCACAGTATGTGAACTCATGTAATACTACTTCTGACCTTATTTGCAATGTAAGTGTTGGCTTGCTGAATTTGAACACCAGAACTAAATCCCCTTTCATTTTGATTGCTCATTTGTCATTTTCATTTCATGCTTAATGGAAGCCTACTCTTTAAAAGAGCATGAAACATTTAAATTGATGACCCACTCATCTTGTTTTACTATTACCATGAGTTCATAATACATTTGCTAAATATTTACACTATGCTGTTCTAAGAGCTGAGATGCTTTACATGTGATATATGTATTATTAAGGTAACAGTAGTAGTAGCATAAAAGGATGGATAGACATTGATGTCCTTCAGGGCAGGCAGGAAATGAGGCATATCAGTCACTTGAAAGTTGTTAGCGGCTCGCTGTGTTGCTAACACATTGCTTTGTCTGATGCTGTATGTAAGTGAGGCAAACTTCGAGCTGGAGTTTTCATATGGGCAAGCTTTCGGCATCTGCTGCCACTGCCTGATCCTCTGGAGCCCTTCCAGGGAGCCCTGCTGTACTTAATAAAATCCAGCCAAGCCACGGGCAGCGCTCCAAGAGTCGGTGTTTTTCTCCACGTCCCTCAAACAGGAGTGCTTCAAGGGGCGGGGGGGTTGGAGAGGAGGAGGTTGTGATTAGCATGGCTAAAGTGCGCCAGCTATGTGCCATAGGCATGAAGGAGGGTGACAGACGCAGGGCTGCGGCTAATGATTATTTCAATAATCGATGAATGTATCCACTAATGTCCAATTAATGGACTCATTGAACCATTATACCTTCTGTAGTTTTCTCTCACTGTAGCCTGACACAGCATGCTCTGTTCTGTTTGTAGTGAGGGGGAGTCAATTCTGAAAGAGTCAATTCTTCAACTCCAGCATGTCTGGGAGTCAGGGCTGACTCCTGGCCAGTGACTCCAAGAGTCAAAATGCTTGGAGTCAACTCTTCAACTCTCTCAAATCCATATTGTAATTGGCCCAAGGAACATTCTGACGGAAGTGTGTGTAAAGTTTGAGTAGTGCAAGTTTGTTTATCAGCTTTATGATAATCCAAAGCTGCCCACCACTCACTGACGAAAACATGGTCGATATGTCTGCCTCTACAGTGCACCGCTCTGCGATCTAACTCTGCTGTGGAAAAAACAAGCTCTTTATTTTTTTCACGATTAGGGCTGCAACAATGACGGATTTAAAACAGTACAAGAAAAAACAAAAAACAATAGTAAGCAATATTTTACACAGAGCGTGTCTGAATGTAGCTGCAGTTGGCTTCTTTTTTTCCCTGCTTCTTATTCAAATTTTCTGTTCCACTTTAAATGGTGCTGCAGTTACATCCTTGCACCTGTACACCATTTAGGTAACTGCTGCAACATTTAAGGTGGAGTGTAAAATTTGAATAAGAAACTAGCAAATTAGCCTTGTGGAAAGGGGAACATTCAGCTGTTCCAGAGTGAAGACTAAAACTATAGGTAAAAGCTTTAGATGTATTTCCATAATTGACAATTAATATATTTTGTTGACCAATAGTTGCAGCTCCTCCCTGATTGAAATGCTGGTCTAAGCTGGTCTAAGTTGGTTTCCACAACACAGTGTATGCTGGTTTTGATGGTGATCAGCCATGCTGATCTGTGCTGGATAGTAGCAGGGTTGCTAACTGCAGCTTTCAGCTTGTTGTCCTCCTCATCTGTTGAGTTATTTCTGTCATTCGGATAGTCCCTTCTCGCCAGTATAATGATGATTTGAGTTATCAGTTACTAGTTATATATGCCTTCTTTCTACATTCACCAGCTAACGACAAAAGGCATTAAATACAGCCTGCCATCAGAAGTCTACCCCAAGCAGTCGTAGTTTTCAACAGTTCCTCCCACCTTCATGATACATCATCAGAAGGTTTTTTTCATAGTCTTTAGACTGGAAGATCTCACTCTAGAGAGTGTCCCTTTACATGAAGTGCTTACATTAAAAATGACTCCTTTTAAAGCTTTGTATTGTCCCCAGTTTTCTCCCCTGTTTAGTTGTATCCAGTTCCACCCACTAGAGAGTAGGGCCATCCTACCCACCCAGAGAGCGAGGCCAGTTTAGCTTTCTTGAACTCCTGGCCACGGATGCCTGTAGCATCACCAGGGATTGAACTCACAATCTCCTGATAATAGGGCCAAGCTTTGCAGTTTTTAATGAAAAAAGATCCTTATCATATCAGCTCATACTCGAGGCTTCAATATCGGTATCAGTATTGGAAAAGAAAAAGCGGTATATCCAGTTACATCATCTTTATTCTCAGCCACCATTTCAGCCAGAAACACAAAGAGAGATCTCGGCTGGTGTTCACACAACACGTCGAATTTCTGATGTAAGATCAGTTGCACTTCCCTGCTTTATGGTCGTCACATTCACCAAAACTGATCCCACATGAGCACTGAATATGAGCTGGTTTGATAATTGTGGTTCTGGTTCCAGATTGCGTTTATTTACTCAGCAGCACCTGTTGTCCAGGCTGAAAGAGGTTTTCATAAAGAATCTTTAGTCACAGCATTATTCAGTACAGGACTAGTGTTAAGCCAAGACCATGTCTGAAAAACTACCATGGCTACAGAGAGAGACATCAGTGGTGCATGATAATTGACAAATTTACCTGGTACATCTGACAGAGGGAATAGCTTTGGCTCTGGATACCATGTGCGCATTCTTGCTGTTCAGTAATGCTTTCCTTTGTTTCTGTTGTTTAGAATATGAGGATTAGAATGTGTTTAACGATTCTTAGAGCATTTGGCAAAGAGCTGTTCGGACACACAGCGAGAGAGAGAGAGAGAGGGAGGAGAGAGATAGACAGAGAGAGAGAGAGAGAGAGAGATAGCATTAGCTCTGCCCAGAGGCTGTGCATGAAGCTTTTTTTTTCTTTTTGACCTTGACTAAGGTTTCCACGGCCCTGCAGCCTCTCATATGACCTTGTTTGTGATGGAAGTGTTGACCCGCTAAAATGTGAATCACCAAATACTAAATCCCCTTTCATTTCAACTTTATTTAGCCCTACTCAGACATTTTCATTTTATGCTTAATGGACATCTTTCCCTTTATATGAGGATAAAACCTTTTAACCAGTGACCACTGGTTCTGTATGGCTCACATTAAGAGAAGTGGGACATCCGTGATTGAATCTTAACTGCTGAAATACTAAGAGAAAAGCTTTTTTTTCGATTTCACTTATCCTTCTAAGAGGGGGAGTGCACCGTATTTCACATTTGAACCCTTCTAAGTACTTTTTGGGCAGTTCCTTGGCACCGGAGTTCCTCCACTACCATAGATTTCAATTCAATGGCAAAATACATACACATATTGTACACATGTGCGTGGTCCATACAGACAAAAATGTACCTTGTAAACAGACCTGGATTATTCCAAGAGACCCCAGCCACCAG